CGCTTCTTTCTTTTTGGGTCGCAGGGGTCACTGGTGCCCATGTCCAGCAGTCACTGTGCGAGAGGCGGGGGACACCCTGGACAGGTCTCCAGTCCATCACAGGGCCAGTCTGATCTAGTTAATGATATTAGTAACGATAAAACAATTTCAGATATTTTCTTTTCTGGCGCATTTTGTAGATTAAATAATTTACACTGGGGCGACTGTCAAGATGGGTACAAAAAGACCTGTAATAGTACTGTAAAACAGTGTGGGTACGTGGTGACTAAAGCTACAAACGGACAATTTGGCGGAGGTACTAACTGACCTGAAGCAGACGAAACAAAAGCAAAAAAAACCTCAAAAACTTGACCTCTACGAGGGCAAGCCCCCTTCTTCTCATTAGTTTAAAACACTGTTTGTAAATGAGAAAACGAATTGGTCATTCCTTTTCACGTCTTCCCAAGTAGCTCGGTTTGGAGATATGAGGTTCACCTACGAAGGATTTCCATGCCCGGCTGGTTCGTACACGAACACTGAACGATGTCAACGGAAGGTAAGGACACATGTACATTTACACACTGGAGAAAATCAACCGAACGAACAAAAACAATACTGTCATAAATAAAAACGGGTAACAGATGCTCCATCAGGACAGCGGAGCTGCTGGGGGCAGGCAGGGAGGCAGGCACAACGTTAAAGGGTGTGTGTTCGTCAACACACACACTCCACAGATGTGTTCTGTAGTAACACAGGGGCTTAACACTGAACACCTAAACAAAAAAAACAAAAAAACTGTACAGTCAGAAGACGGAAGCCCCCCCACCCCTCATCTAAGAGGTGATTCTGCTGGCCGGCCTACACAGCCTGAACCCAAAGCCTGGAGGTGGCACCCTTGGGGGGGGGGGTTCTAGTTGCAGAGTGCTCTCCCACGTTGCTCCCTGAAGTAAAGCCCACTCAGAAAAACAAACAAACAAAAGATAAAAAAAACAACTCCATTGTAATCACGGGTATACGAATTGGCGGGAAAACACTCCCCCCACCCCTTTCCTCTAGGATCAAGGTTTATATGAAAATAAGTCATGCTTCATGCTAAATACATCGTTTATCTTACATGATCTTTGAATAAAAAAGATTTGCTTTTTATCTTATTTACAAGCACCCATGCAATATAACTGAGAAAGTCCTGCAGGTCAAATTGCTTCAATTAAGAAAAGGAAGGAAAAAAAATAAAATAAAGTATTTTCTAACCTTTTTACAGAGTTGTCCGCGAACGGGACAAATTGCTTATATCTTTATGAGGGTAGAGCGAGGGTCGAACAGACACGAACGGATTTCCTACACCACAGTCCATGGATGGAGAGGAAGGCGTGGCAGCTACCGGTTGCTCTGATGTCTAGACATGGTGTCTACGGACAGAGGTACTGAGGAAGATTCAGGGACGGATACACTATGCAACAACAAAACCAAGGAGATATTGCCTCAAACCCGGCACACTATCCGTCTCTGTGGTGATAAACATGACTTTTTTTTGTTTTCATATATTTCTTCTTAAATACTATGAGTGCTCTGGAAATAAACCATGATTTTACCCATGATGCTTTCCCCTTATAGTGGCGTAAAATAATCTTAAGTGCATGAATATACATATCACATTGGGTTTTACATGTACTTTGACACTTTAGCTCCTTACTATGCCTTTTTTTTTCTTTTTTACCCCCCCCCCCCCCCATTTCGTTTGGCTACATAAAGCAACCTGGTCGCGTATCTTTGGCACAGTCTCACGTTTGTGCTTGTGGGTTTGTACGTTGAGGAGAGTGATGCTAAGTCTCCGCCATGTTTTGCTGGCATCACTGCGAGATTGCTACAGATCGGACATGGAGAAACAAAAACAGGTAAAGACAAAGAGCCATCCTCTGTCACCGCGGTGCGCTCCTCCTGCGTCACTTTTTCTTTTATCGTTGTTTTTCGGCTTGCCCAAATTAGAGACAAAACATGCGTTTTTTTTATGGCTTTCATCCCCTTTTTTAAACGAGAAAAACAACATAGACACATGAGACATACCCATCGGTGTTAGTGTTGCTGAACATGTAGGAAAACATAGATTTTTGATATTGCCACAGATAAGTAGGATTCACCTAATGCCCTGCAGATAGATAGAGGGAAAAGACGAGTGTCCGTTCAGACTAATGCTGTAGTAACCTGTTGATCTATTTGTGTGTGTGAGTTAATGTGTGGGTTTTAGTTTCTCAGAGCCTCTTTGGGCTCCTTCTGGCCCTTGGCGGCGCGGTTTGTGATGTTGTTGAGGCAGGCTCGCACGCCGGCCAGGTGGAGCAGCGACCCCGCCGCCTCCTTCATCTCCTCGTCGTCGCTTTCCGGCGGCTTCTCCACCGCGCGCCGCTTCTTCAGCGGCAGCGTGTCGCTAATGCTCCTCGCTCGGCTTTTGGTCCAGGGCAGGCTGCTGCCCGGCAGAGTCCCGGCGCCCGCCCCCGAGCTGCGTCTCTGTCCGCGCAGGGACTGCTGCGAGATATACGCCGCGGCGGCAGTGGCGATGTGAGAATCCAGCGGGATCTCCCGGGGCTCGGGCTTGACATCCGACTGGATTTCCACAGCGATGATGTCGTCGTCGTCGTCCAGCGGGGAGGAAGGGGTGGTGTCCTGGGAGGAGGACAGCCTGCTGGGGGACTTGGCAGTGCTGTAAGTGTGGTCCTCCTGGAGGTCTTCGCCGCAGAGTGGAGGGGAGCAGCGGGTCGGGCTGTCCTGTCCTCGGCTTAGATACTCTCCCAGGGATGATCTGCACGAAACAAGAACGGAGAGAGAACGTTAGTCCTGCTGTCTCGCTGCCGGACAGGTGGCCCCGCCGTCTACCTAAAGCTGCTCCGGTTCACTTCTCCTTTGGCAGGAAAGCAGAAAAAGTTCAGGCTGTAATCTATCACCCTCAAACGGCCCCCTGGGACTCCTGTGGACAGCGCTCAAGTCAGATAAAAACCTCTAAAAAGAGTGGGCCTTGTATTTTAGAAGCGGGCCGCTCGTTCTCAGATCGCCACCTTCACATATTTCAGACGACATTAAGCATTCTGGGTAGCTCGGACTCGTTCTGAGCTCGCGACTCGCTCAGCACAAGAACAACCTTCTGAACCGGAGCCACTTAGCGGATACTGTGCGGCACGTTACCCTGGAGCACGTACTCGGCTCTATTAATCAAGAGGCTCTTTTTGCATGAAGCATTAAAGGACAGGGGGGCATCCTGACAAGCTATAAATCAGCAGGAGCTTCAGCACCCCCACCCCCACCAACACTCTCTCCTTCAGAATGAGAGGGTTAGCATATTAATAACTAATAAGAAAAACTTGCAGCCCTCGCCCATATCACATATTCACTGCATACCTTCATGTGAGCCTTTGAGTACGTTTAATTCGCTACGCCGTGCCGACCATTATACTGTTACGCTGCCGTGATGGATGTGCGTGTCCACGCATGCTGCAAATGTTCTGTGACTCACGAGGCCTCTAATAAACCTGTTTGTGTGTGTAAGAGACCTTTACATAAACACACCTGGATAAAATGTTCAGTGTGGCGGGGAGTGTGAACACCTGACTTCAGGACACGATAAAGATGTAGCGGTGGAAAAGTTTGATGTTACGTGTGTCTGAGGGAAAGCCCTGTTGGACATTAATTATATGGCTGAGGGTGACGGGAGCAAAGTGTACCCACCTTATTGCCGAGGTTCTGCTCCCCACCGGGCTTACAGGCAGGGGTCTGATAACGGGGAACAGGGCCTGGCTCCTGACACGAGCGCCGTTCTGGATCACGCTCCGAGGAACTGAAGCAAAAAGCAGCACAGACACAAAGCTTAGCTGCATGAAAAACACAAATCGGTTTAAAAAGTACAAGAGGTGGGGGTGGGGGGTGTGAAGGAAGCGCCTGTAAAAGGTGATTGGACCTCGATGAGACGGCAGGAGCAGCTCGATGAGAATTCCCCGACCGTCCGAGGAGGCCAACAGGGCAGTATTGACGAGCGAGGTGAGGTTAAATTGAGCAGGAAAGCATCATAAACGAGTTAAGACCGCCGTGATTCATTCGATTACCAACGACCGCTGGGCTCGGCTAAATCTGGTCCGTCTGGTGCTGAACTTCAGCAGCAGCTGGACCCAAAGGGAACGCTGCAGATTTATAAACACAACAAAAGATCTCATTCCGTAGATTTATTCAGGAAACAAAAAGTTACCTTTTACTTCTCAGATAGGGCTGCATGATGCTAGGAAAACTTTTTTCTTCTTCTGAATATCACATTATGCTATCAGTTGCTGAAAACTTCTGACGTCAAATCAATTCAAGATGGCCGCCACAGCCAACTACCGTAACCTTAACAAAAGGCTATAACTCAGCCAGGTTTACAGATGGTGAACTAAAATTTTATGTGGAAGTAGCTGAGAGTCATTCCCAACACACAGACTGTGCTACCATTACGCAACATCTTATCCTAATGCTGTACTATTATCTGTTAGAGGCAATCCTGTCTGTTAGCAAAATATCACTGGAACCTTTCAGAAAGCAATCACTGAGCATACATTGACAACAAATCATCAAACATTGGTTCCTAGAAAATGTAAAAACAGCCATAACTCTGTCAGTTTATACAGATGATGAGCTAAAGTTTGATACGGAAGTAGCTGAGAGTCATTCACAACAGATACTCTGAGCACGGAATGAGTTCAAGGTTTGACCAAAATAGCTACAACTCTGTCATTTCCAAACTTAGGATGACCTCAGTGGAAAACTCAAGTACGATCAATTAATTTTTGGAATGGTTTGGCCACCAAATGGGCGTTTAGGACCATTCATATTTATAATTTACTGCGAACATTGGCCATATCGACATTCCACACACTGAAAATGAAATGATAATGATGTTTTGAAATACAGTAGTCCATCGCTACTCCGCGGTTCGACTCTCGCGGTTTTTCAAAGTAAGATTGGACATGACACAATTGGCTGATTGATGGAGGAGTCGCATGAGTGGCACAGATTTCTATGTGTATATATATATATATATATATATATATATATATATATATATATATATATATATA